TTTTTTTTTTTTTTTTTTTTTTTTTTTTTTTTTTTTTTTTGGCCTTTTGTTTCAAAGGGTTTTGAATTTTTGTATGCTAGTCTGGCCTCAATTTTGTTAGGTAGCTAACAATGACCTCCAAATCCTGATTCTCCTACCTCCATGTCCCAAGTATTAGGATTATAGCAGAATGCCACTACATTCAGTTTAGGTAGTAGTAGAATGGAAACCAGGACTTCATGCATGCTAGGCACTCTACCAACTAAACAAGATCCCTAGCCTGATTTGTATTTTTAACAAGAATCTTTTTAAATAATAATAATAGTAATTATTCTTATTATTATTTTGAGGAGGTATAAATGGGGACAAGTGCCGAGGTGTGTGGAAGTCAAAAGATGTCTCTGTGGATCAGTTCTCTCCTCCTCTAGGCTTCCCCAGCAACTGCCTTTACCAGTTGAGCCATATCACTGGCCTCTTATTGAATTTTCAAATAGTATCACTATATTAGACCTCAAAATTGAAGTGTCCCTTCTCTTCCTGCTTTTGGAGCAATGGGATTTGATGCTACTGTACACCTATCTCCAGAAACCTCATCTTTAAAAAATTTACGATCCTAATGCTCACATAGTATGCATATGCACTAACACATAGGCATGAACATTAAATAAATGTAAATATCTTTTAGGCCAGTTAAATGATGATTCACTGGATAAGGCATTTGCCACCAAACATAAAGACCAGAGCTTGATCCAAGGCTCACATGGTGGGAGGAGAGAACCAGTTTTCACAAGCTGTCCTTTGATCTCCATGCAATGGTGCGTTCTCTCTCTCTCTCTCTCTCTCTCTCTCTCTCTCTCTCTCTCTCTGTGTGTGTGTGTGTGTGTGTGTGTGTGTGTGTGAATCAATGTAATGTAAGAGCCTGTCCTGGCACTTACTCTGTAGACCAGGAGCTGGCCTCGAACTCACAGAGATCCATCTGCCTCTGCCTCCTGAGTGCTGGAATTAAAGGCGTACACCAACACCACCTGGATCCATTGTTTTTTAAAAATTTTGTGATTCTGAGCTGAGCATGGTTTCATACACCTGTAACCCCAGGATTCCATAATTTAAGACAGTATTGCAAGTTCAAGGTCAGCCTGGGTTATAGAATGATGAGCCTTAAAACAAAACCAAAACTTAGGATCTTGGTCTTCCACCAAGCATGAAGATGGATGGGAGCTTGGGAGGGGGAGAGGGGGCAACTCAGCTATATACAGCACCCATCTCTAGCACTATGGGGAAGGGAACATGGAATGAAAAGAAAAAAAAAATGCCATTGAGATTCAGTATTGTGACAAAATTTGGCTCCACTCAGAAATAGAATATCCCATGAGAGCGAGAGCTGACCCTGCATAATACCTACCTGCCCAGTCTCATATTTTCCATTTTGTTTTGGCACCTCAAACACACCAACTGTCTCCAACACTTTGCCTTCTGCACGGTTTCTAGTTGGGAAGGAAGAAAAAGAATAAGCAAGTGAAATGCTGAGAAGGTAACAGTCCTTCTCCATCAGAAACAAACAAACAAATAAATAACCCCTATCAGACTGAGGGGCCAGGGCAATGACAGCAAAGGCCAAGGATGCTGTTTTTTTTCCCTTAAGACCCATCCACAGGCCTCTATTTGATGAAGACTTTCCCAGTCTCCCAGTGTTAGATCTAACTACTCCAAATTTACTTTCTTCTTTCTTCACTTAGCATTTCCAAGGTCATGCCTGCATATCCTTTTTAAATATACATCTTTCCCCACCCCCCTGGACTACCACAGCATTTTAACTGTCCTTCCTGTTTTGCTGGTGTCCATGAGAGACTATTTGTTCCCTGACAGCAATGCCTAGTATGTAAAAGGTGCTCAAAAGGCATTTGTTCTGGGGCAAGCAGTTCTGCTGTTTCTGCTCTTACCCACTGCTTCCTTGCAGTATGCTTAATAAACCTGTTATCTGCTACTTTGAAAAATTGTTCTGAATTGAACATGGTTCCCACAAGTCTGTAATTTCAGAACTCTTGAGGCTGAGGCTGGAAAATCACAAGTTCTGGGTCAACCTGGCTACATAGCATGACTCTCCCAATTCTACACATCCATCTACCCTCTAAACTATAACTGTCTTTACCATGACCTGAAGACTTAACATCTCTAGATTCCCAAAGGATCAGCACAAAGTACACTTAGTACTGCAGTCTCTTTACATACCATCCTCCCAGAATTATTTAATTCTTAAATAGCAGATACCTCCCTCAGCCACAGTTCCATCAATTACCTTTTTATTTTTTCATCACATTAGTTTTACTATTACTATTATTACCTATGCCTTTAAATTATAGGATAGATAGAGCCAACCTCACCATACCATAATCCCTTTGTGCTATCTTATATTCCTACTTGTATGGATCAAAACTCATACTGAACAATGAGTTCTGGGTTGCAAGAGAGGGTTTATTTTTGCACCTGTCAATTACCCTTTTAAATAAGACTACTTTTTCTATGGACTCGTCAGAGCACTGTGATTTTATTTTGGAAATTCTAACTTCATACCCAACTCGATCAATCCTGTCTGGTCCCTAAAATACTTTGTTTACACCATCCCCAAGCCTGGAACCCTCTTTCCCAAGTCACATAGGCAAAAACCAGTCTCCCCAAGGTCACACGGAAACCCAGGACCCACAAAGGTAGACACTTAAGTCGACTTGTTTTCCACTTAATAGCATCTTTCTGAGAGAAGCCATGATCCACGAGGGGCTGGGGATCAAAGTCAAAATCCTTGTAGCTGTATTAAATGGCAGCCCACTACAGGTGCTGGGGACCCTAGCAAGGGAGGCAGATTCGCTGAAGAAGCGTTACTTGTTCTCCCTCGGAGCTGCCCTGCACTGCCAGGGCCCTGGGCCGTGCTCCCTTCTCTGCTCCTGGCACATGTCCCAAGCAGCGCATGTCGGCTCCCTACTCGGGACCACTTCTCAGGTGACACTCCGGTTGCCCACAAACAGTCGGGCCTCCCGGTCTCCTCAGTGGCTAGGAACATGCTCCCCAAATTCTGGGCCCGGCTCCCTGGCTCCCTGGCCCCCTGGCTCCGTCCCTCACCGGGACGATAGATGCCTTCGCGTCGTCGCTGTGGCCACCAGCGGAAGGGTCCCTGCTCCACCGACC